AGGGGTGGGCGCAGGACCCACACCAGGGCGGTGCTGGGGCGCAGCAGCAGCTTCCTGGGGCAGAGGCAGCATCGCTGCTCTGCATCTCCGCACTGGGCTTCCCCCTCGTGAGCCAGCCCTGTCGAATTCACACCCTTTAGGGAGTTTTGGCCTCCAGCGCGTGCCGTGAGAAGGACTCCCAGCAGCGGTTCCGCCTTGCGTGTAGGTGGCTGATGCCCCCCTCGCTGCGGGGCTGTGCTGGGGGTCGTGTCACTGGTCTGGGCTCAGCGACCGGCAGCTCGAACCCGCAAACTTATGCTTGGGGCTTATGCTTGGGGGACACGATGTGATCACATCATTGTGTTTGGAAAACGCTGCATGCCATATAGCACCTCTGGGCAGGGGACGAGGTTTTCCTGAGAAACACCGAATCTCTGCATCTCTTCAGGCCACGTCCATCACAGCGCCATAAGTGACGAGGAGAAGCTCTGCCACATGAAGCTTTTCCCCCGGGAACAGGGAGCATTTGGTGACAGTCGACATGACAGACAATGAAAGAGGGAAACCTGATGGGAACAGGGGGCAAAGCGGTGAAGCGGCAGCAATTACTGACATCACGTTACCTACGCCGTGGTCCTTCGCTCAGCGGCTGGAGGTGGCAGGAGGACATGCAGCACCCGTGGTGGGAAGGGGCCAGGGCACGCCGGCTCCCTCCACCCCCCCAGCCACCGAGAAAATGAATTTTACAGCTCGAGGGAGGATTAGTGCCTCATTAACTCAGGAGAGGGGAAGGCTTTGCCAGACAAGGAGAGAGGAATCGTGTGTCATGTGCGCTTTGAGTGAGTGCGACCGGCTCCTTTGCAGGGAGTGCCTGCTGAAGGCAGAAAGAAAAATTAAGACATATTTTGTTTTAAATGAAAAATGACTGGCATTCCCCCCCTTTCCTGAAAACGGAAAGTAATTTAATTTATTAGTGGTTTATTTTATTTGACAGCCTTTCTATGTACTTGACGCGGTTTGTTACACTGAATTACCCTTTAATAATGGGTATATATAATACCAGAACCTGCCCTGCAGGTTGGCTCCGTAATTGAAGAAGGGATGCGTTGGGGAGGTCTCTGTGCTGCTGAGGATTGCTATGGCAATGCTGGTGGGAGCCGGGAGGTTTAGGCAGACACTGGCTTGGACTCTGCATGTTTCAAAAAAATTAAAAAAAAAAAAAGACCAAGTTTCATTTGCTGTCACGTGGCTGGTTCGTTAGAGCTTTCTCTGCACCGTCACTGAGTGCTGCCGCCCTGAGCTGCTCCCAGCATGCCCGGCTGGGCTCGGGGCAGCGTGGCTGCGGGGTCTTCCCTCAAACCACCCTTTCTTTTCCATTATTGTGCGTTAAGCAGAAATGTAACGCGGGTGTCTGTCAGCCGCTGGAATGGGCTCCGGGGCGCTGGGGGTCACACTGCTGGAGACCAGGCAGCGTGCTAGAAAAGACGTGCTAGAACAGTCCCGTGGTGGCGAGCGGGATGAGCGGGGAGATGGGCAGACTTCTTCTCTGCGCGGTGGCGGCGTTTCCAGCCGGCTTCAGGGCAGACTTCAGCGGAGAAGAGTTTAATCCCAGGCGGGTCCCAGCCTGCGCCGGGCAGCTGCTCTCCCTGGCCATCCCGAGATGGGGTTTGCCTTCCGCCGCAGGACTTCTGCTGTCGTTGACAAGATCCCTGAGCCAGAGTGTGCTCCCAGTGCATTCCGGGCTGCTCCTGCCTCAAAATGTCAGTGCTTTCAGGTTTAAGTGCCTACTGTTGATACCCTTAATCAAAAGCTCGCAGCATGTGATGAGAGGGGGCACGGACACTTGCTGGTTTCCGTATTCCAGAGCAGATTCTTGACACTGTAGCAGATAAAAAACCCTGCCTTAACAAAATACTCGCAGATGACCAGGTTTGTTCCTCTCGTGGGATTTTACCTGGTGACTGCTCAAGTTCCAAACATAAAAAACTCCCCAGAATTTGGCTCTGAAGTAGCGTGTGGAGAATTTTCTTGCTGAAGAGTTTATCTCAGCTCCATGGTTGCGAGTAGCTGCCGTATAAAAACCGGGCAGGGAATTGTGCTGGGGCGCTGGAAGTTGCAGATGGCCATGCTGCTCTGGCTCAGACCTGGGCTGTCCTGGTTGCTTCGCGCTGCAGGGCTCCTGCCGGGCACGGGGACTGGCCGGGGGTTTGACCGCGAGGTGCGGTCGGGCCGCACAGCGTCATCTCAATGAGTGCAATCCTCTGCCAAAACCTGTACTTATTCTTGTGCCCAGCTAGACCTGGTGTAACCATTGAACCCTTTCCCTTTGCGCAGCCATCATGTTTCCGACGGTCTGAATGACAGCCCGGTTCCTGTAATCCCTGAGCAAAACGCGAGCCTCCGTCCCCAGATGGCTGAGCAAAGTCCTTCAGCGGCAAACGATGCATCATTGACTGTGTCAGGCTGAATTAGCAGGCAGGCTCGTCACATTAAGCTCAGGCTCTGAGCTGGCAGTCCCTGCGTTCTACTGTCACTCGAGCTGGCTGTCACAGGCCCGTCCCCACCTCTGCAGCCATGGGAAATCTCTTTGGGCAGCACACAGATAAAACGCACAGTAATGAAGTAGCTTGAGGGAATAGCTTCCTGGCAAACGGGAGCGCAGACTGACACCTTCCTAGGGTATTGAGTTGCCTTAAGAGCGTTTTGTCTGACGTTATTACTTACACTGCTCCTTGCATATGCTGTTCTTACTGCAGCTCTGCATCCCCCGATGTTTACGTGAGTTATGCTTATTAATCTAAAGGCAAACGTGTGTATCTCTGTTTCTAGTCCCTCCATCTGTCTCTGCCCTGTGTGTTCCCCTTCCCTGTCTCTTCTCATCTCTTACCTCCATCACTTCACTGTGAAGCAAATGCAGAAAAGTTAAAAGAAAAATCTGTGCTGACCTGGCTCTCTCAGGAAATATATTTGTATTAGAAATGCTCCAGGAATTCCAGATTCCAGTTAACAGTGACAAAACAAGGCAGAAGTGGTTTTTATTTTTTTCAAATAAGGAATGGTTGCTGCAGCCAAGATCCAAGCCTGGTTTACTGGGCTCTCGCTGCCTCACAGCAATCTAACCGTACTGGTGCCTCTTTCAAAAGGAAAAGGCTTTCGTGTCTGCTTGTCCTTCTGTTCGTGCACTAAGACAGACGTGAGGTTTCCTCGGTGAGGGTGTGTTAAGAGGCAGGCGTTGGGTGGGACACTGTGCCGGGTGCTGGCGTGGGTCGGGTGGGACAGCCAGACCCTGTCCCTGGGCAATGACGTTCTGCTTCCCGTCCCGCAGGTACCTGTGCTCCGGCCCATGGACCTGATGGTGGAGGCCACCCCCCGGAGGGTGTTTGCCAATGCTCATACCTACCACATCAACTCCATCTCCGTCAACAGCGACTACGAGACCTACATGTCGGCAGACGACCTGAGGATAAACCTGTGGAACTTTGAGATCACAAATCAAAGTTTTAGTATCCTTTGGTGCATGCTGCCCCGCAGCCGCTGGCCGGTCCCAGCTCTTCCGGCCAAGAGCAGGAGTAAGGGAGGTGCCTCGGCTGGCAAGTGGGGCGTAAAAGCCCCGGGTGCCCAGACACCTGCAAATGTCAGAAGGAGAATGAGAAAGCTGGACGGGGACTCAGGTCCCTGGCGAAGGTGGGTGGCAGAGGGGGGACCTGCGAGGTCCGGCTCCGTGGGAAGCAGCAGAGCTGTGCCTGTGTCTGCTGTGACGGTGACCGAGCAGGTAGCGCAGGGTCTCGCCTGGCCCCGTCCCCCCAGCCCCTTCACAGTTCCTCCGTACCGACGGTTCACCCTCTGGCAAGGGCTTGCAGGGGCTCAGGAGTACGAAAAGGTGCTGTCCATGCGTCCGGCTGCAGAACTCCTGAAATCCCGTTCCCGGGTGTCATTACCAAGGCACTTCCCTCTTTGCCCGTGCTGCTGGGCTGAGCTGTGCCGCCGGCGGGACACTGAGCTGTCTCCAGCAGGCACATTCGGCCGTCACACCGAGCCGCTGCCTCTGTGGTGCAGGGATCAGATGGCATCTTTGCGACTGCTGCCTCCCGGTGCGGGTGACATATTTTTGAATTTTGCCTGCAGGGTCTGCGTGGGGTGGCAGGAGGGAGGGGGGTCTGCGGGTGATGGAGAAGACAGATGCCTTGGGGAAGATGGAGAAGAGAAATATTAATCGTGCAGTCTCCATTATACCCTGCAGCAGGGTGACAGGCTGCCAGTCACAGTCGTGCAAATGAGGTCATGCCAGTCACCCTTGTAACAGCCGCATCAGAAATAATAACTACGGGGCACTAATCATCGGTGATATTTATATAGTAATTTCTACTGAGAAATCCCCAGGGCACGTGGCAAATTTAGGCAGCTGGAGAGATTTCGGCAGTCACAGGCATGTGGCTGGAGGGAGCTCAAAGCGGGTACGGAGGAGCAGTGCTGCAATGTGCGTCTCTTTTTGGGGAAGAAAGTGAGGAGTGCTGAATTTGGGTTAAAACCTCAGGGTGTTTAGATGGCCCGAGGGAGCCGGGCCAAGGAGCCAGTGCAGCACCTAAAACACGTGCTAAAAATCAATGGAGAAACGTCACCACCAGAGAGAGGTCCACTCAGATGTCCCATCACACTGGCTTGCCGGTGTGTCGGTGTCACCTCTCTGCCCGACGCCTTGGAGCCCCTTCCTGGGGTGTCCCCGGTTTGGCTGAGCCGCGGGTCCAGCCCCACTGGGCTCTCCACAGAGTACCTGAGGGGGTGCTGGGTGGTGCTGGCA